TTCACAAAAATAGACCAAACTTTGTACCTAAATCACGCCTAGTCTTTTTTTTCCACCGAACCCATAACCTTTTGACGACAAAATAAGCAAGTGTCTCGTGCAAGATTACTGAATAAATATCGAGGTGACTGAGGTTTTGCCATATTAACCAGCCATGCATGAATACACAAGTAGGTGACGTACTATGTGGTGTCCATAATCATGCGGCCCTCAATGAAAGCGATCCTCAAGTGTTGACTGACACGCTTTTTGAGGGGTTAATCTCTTGATGCTGGACAATCGCGAATGCGATTGCACAACCTATTCTCTTTTGCACACCACGAGGGAGAGTGGTAAGCGGGTTTCGACCCTTTTTGGTGGCCAAACGCCTCTGACCCTGAGAATGGGGCTCCATCATCGGAGGTCTGGACACAGGTCAAGGGGTTTGACTTTGATAGCCACCGTAGACCTTAATATTTAACTATAAAAATTATAAAAAGCAGAAGTAAAAAGGGGATCGTCCTTTCTCAGTTCACATTTGTTAAATCCTTGCGCTCAGCTACAGTAAACCGCGCGGATATACAAAACATAAATGTAATTGGGGTTATAAGACATAAGGCAATCACTCTTAAAATCACAATGTGACTCCCTTCAAAATATACATATGATCGCAGGCAAGTAAAATTCGGACTTCAACTCACAAAACATACATGCAATCACACCAAAATTCAACATCGACGTACCACGCACTACACGGGTCCGGGGTCAACTTCAACCACTTTCTGTACTCATACCTCTTGCCTTAGTTACACAAGTTTCAACCTTTCCCTAATCTTCAAAAAAAAAATACTCAGTCCTTTTTAAATGACCATTTAAAAAAGTCCGGGTAAAACCCAAAAAGAAACAATTTAACCCACAGGGGCTAAGGTCATAGGTTGGGTAGCGAGAATGAGTTAGAGTTGAGCCAGAAAAAAAAAAAACTATTATCAAAAGATAACAGAAGACGATCTTCGTAGGATCAGGCTGAGACTAGTTAAATGTTGAAACGAAGTAACCAAGGAGGGTCTGTAACACAGCACAGTTAGTTTCCAAGGCTGAATTTAAGTGCATGGAGGATAAACCCCTATACCACATCTCACTCCAATCTCTCACAACCTAAGTCTAAACTTACAAATTAACGAAATAAAATAAGGGGAGGAAAATTACTATAACAGCGAAGGAGAGGGGGGGAAATCGTGCTCGAGGGGGGAGGGCCCGGGAAGGGACACAAACACCTTATTCACCCCTCCGATCGGGTCCACGAGCAGGACCGGGAATGAAAAATAGTCTTGTCGGATCCTCGACCCCTCGGTCTCCTCCAAGATGCTCCACCATTCCCGTGTGGTCACCCGCTCGTTTTGATCCCTAAATCGGTGTAGTGGAAGTCCATCATTGTAACCAATAGTATTTGGGCCCAAGGTTGATACCAGCAACCGCGCAATTCCATATAAACAGGTGTTGTGTGGCGCACAACTCTACCGACACACACCAAGGTCACATTGGCCTACCAGCTAAACCCATGGACGCCCAACTCCCGCATCTACCGCGCGGAGACCCGATCCATGTTTTTACCCCACCAATCGGTTCGTTTGCCACACAAGCTGCATTGTCGTCAAGCCTAACTTCACACGGGCGCATGCACATCACGGTCAAACGTACCAACCAAAGAAAGAATCACTTAGTCCTGATTAACCGAAAATACCAGTTAATCGACAATTGTGTCAGCTCTTTAGTACCAAAAAAAAAAATCACGTGAGTCTAAAAAATTGTGCGCCCACACACTCCTTATTCTACTCCTTTTAACACACTGTTAGTCACAAAAAGAAAATTGGTCGTCGCTCGTACGACACACCTAACTTCCACATCCAATCTTTAAATAAAATAAAACTGCTTCTGTTACTAAAAAAAAAACGGGGTGAATGCCCTTATAAGGGTATTCGCACTGATGTCGGTCTAGCACCGTCCTACCCGACTTGCTGGAACCTTTTGTTTTTTTTTTCACCTTGACACTCTACCACCCGTCTACCTGATTGTCTACTGCGACTATTCTCTATAGCAACCGGTACCATGATTGCAACTATGGGTCTACGTGAGATTACTCCTTATGTAATACTACTATTTTACCGTTGGTTTCAACCTCGACTACTACCCTGCATTCCTCCACTGGGAGAACCAATAAGCTATGAATTTTTTTTAGTAAAAAGTAGTAATGGTAAATTGTTGGTTGCGCACCCAAATTTTCCTGAACTACAAGAGTCTACCGGAGACTTCTGATGCATCACGTGCATGTGCGAATCTCCTTCAATTTTATTGGGAAGAGTGGTTTTGATTTTTTTTCTTGTCTGTTGATCGTCATACTATTGGTTCGCAATCTTTGCTTATTCCTTTCTTTCAAAATGACCCACAACATGACTGTTGTTTGATCCATACATCCTCATCCGTCGCTCAATGACAGATCTTCATCCATAAAGCCCTTTTATACTCATCTTTTACTTTACATATTCTATTTTTCAATAATTTATTTTCAATGAAAATTAAACCACTTCCATAAATTTTAAAATTTCAAGTCCACCTTAAGATGAGTGCTCTTAGCACCATCAGATAAAACTGTAGTCACAAAGGGATGTCAGCTTATGTGCGAAAATAGTTTTCGGTCGTTTCCAGATGTTTTTTAACTCGTTTTTTTTTTTAGGGGCCCACTTGCTATACTTCATTCTCATCTATTGATAAGTTTGAGCACAACGACATGTAATTTAACTTTCAATTGATTGATAAAGGTTCTATCTAATAATTATAAACTCCTAGCTACTCTTTGTTCATCCACCATTTTTAAGCCTCTCAGTTTAATCTTAGTCTGCGTACCTCTCTTCTACTTGTGATAATCTTTACTATCTCTACCCCTTCGTCTGTCTGAACGGACCTTCTTCTCACCCTGCATTCTATCAGGTCATTCAAGCCTAACCTCTCAATGGTTTTTCGGCTAAAAAAATTATTGGAATAAACCATTGCGCTTGTAAATGCCTTCAACGTCTCCAACGCACACGGTGAATAAATTTTGTGTTTTTTTTGTTAAATTTTTACTTGGAAAGATCATTGCTTAGTATGTACCCTCAAATCCGACATTCTGTTTGAATTGATTAGGCAAGTAAGTGACATTCAGAAGGTTGTGCATTCAATCTCCATGGTCGCCTATGACACTTTTAGTGCCAACCAACTGAGATAGTGAGTTGGATCCTCCCAATTGATATAAGTAAGGTCTTCAGCAAACATAGGTGTGAATGCACGTTTAAGTGGGTGGCGTGTGGTGTAAGGGAGAGTGTTGGTTTTAGACACTACTCTTACTCGATGGGAGTTGGGGAAAATGAAAACGTAGGCACGGTTACTGACAAATGCTCAGTCCTTGTGTTACCCGGACCCCCACTGGCGGCCCAACCCTTGACCCTAAACGCTAGGGCAAATGGGCAAACACGTCGTTGTGGAGAGGGGTAACCTCCCTTCACCGAGAGAGACAACCTCCCTTCACCGAAGAAAGTTATGTCTGGAGAGGTTCCCTGTATAACCTTAGGAGTGGTCATAGGTAGGTAGCGAAAGAAAAATATGTTCCATGACATGGCAAAACGTCAGTTAAACCACCAGTACCTCAGTCTGCTTGAAAAATAGAGTCCTACCTCGTTAACGACCGCGACTTTAGAAGGTCGACCGATGTACTACCGGTATGAAGATGAAATTGTAACTATTAAAAAAAAAAAAAAAAAAAAACCACAAAAAAAATAGACATCACTAAAAAAATAAAAATAAAAAAATAAATTGAAAACGAGGGTCCGGAGCGCGCACAGAGAAAAAGAGAGAGAGAGAGAGAGAGAGAGAGAGAGAGAGAGAGAGAGAGAGAGAGAGAGAGAGAGAGAGAGAGAGNGAGAGAGAGAGAGAGAGAGAGAGAGAGAGAGAGAGAGAGAGAGAGAGAGAGAGATGCTGAATGACAAAATTGAAATATGGGTCAAATTGCGGTCGCGATCTATTTCATAGTTGGAATGATTTTTTTAAATTGATTGAGTGTTTTTCCTTGAAATATCACAACAAAATGTACAAGTACTCAAATTTTCAGGTTTTGTCATGCATTTTTTTTAGCGCGAAAACTCGCTGAATTTAAAGTACTTTTATAGTTGGCCCACACATGGCTGAGTGACAAAAATAGAAAATGTGCCGAGTCAGCGCGACGATTATTTCGCAGTCTAAATGATGTTTTGTAAATGTTATAATATTATTCCTGGAAAGAACACGACCTCATCTATGGATTCTCAAAATTTCAGAAGCACAGAAAAGTGCCAAAGTTGCCTGTTGCAAAACGCCTGTTTCGTTGTGCCTGACCTCCCTGTTTTGAGAACCTCCCTGTTTTGAGAAGACTGGGCTCAACGTGTGGGCCTGAGGGCCCTTTTGCAGTTCACATGCCCTCACTTCTTTTTGGGGTCCGCTTCTACTCGAGGACTGGTCCAACGCCCTCCACTTCTTCGTTTTGGGGTCTGCCTCCACCCGAGGACCGGTCCTCGCTTTTTCCAAAAGTCCCTATTCTACCAGAGCTAGCTGTAGGTAGTCCGCAATTTTGGCAAGGACCGGTCCCTCAGTTTTTTTTGCCCCCTCAGAACCCACTTTGTGTCCTGATAGCCCGCCGCCAAAAATGCGATACCTTTACACAGACCCGGAAACCCACTATACCGCAGCCTAAGGTCGGCTAATTCACGCCACCTTTTTCTGATTTTTCTGACAGAGGGCACCCCTCCTTACCGCAGCGTAAGGGCTTCGAACTGCTGCACAGGACAGGAAATGCCGCAAATGGCCAGTAGTAGGCGTAACCATACCCTCAACTCGCCTCAAAGTTCCCTTTATCCCCTACATGCATCCGCGAAGGACTGGCGCGAATGCCGATTAGTGCAACTAGGGGGTAGGTCCTGCGTCTCAAACGGCTCCAGTTCTTGATCGCGGTGGGACGGGGCAGGCCTCGTGCGGTCAGGAAACCCCGCCTGTGTGAAAATGACCCTCGTTCGGACATGGCCAGGCCAGCGGGGTCGATGTCTGCTCGATGGACAACGGAGTCGATGGACTGCAGAGGTATGACAGCCGTTTTCTCTCCCTGTCTGCGACGCTGGGTGTGTTCAGCTCTCTACCTCTCACTACCTCTGCATTCTGTCCATTGCTTGCTTCCTCTTCTCCTCCCAGCCCCTAGTGTTCTTCTTCCTTCTCGTTGCCATATCCATATCCCTCGTCTCCTCCAGACTCCCCTTTATTCTCTTCTATGTGCGTCCTTTCTCTGGTTCCCCTTTTTTTTCCTGTCACTCTGCCTCAAGCCCGCGCTCGATCGTCTTGCCATCCCTTCGTCTCTACCCCTCCCCCTCTTCTTCCGGTATCATCTTTCTTCCTCTTCTCTCTCTCTCTCTCTCTCTCTCTTCCTCTCTCTCTCTCTCTCTCTTCCTCTCTCTCTCTTTCTCTCTCTCTCTCTCTCTCTTCCTCTCTCTCTCT